AGGACACTAACCCCGGGCCTCACCAGTCAGCAACCCCTCCCTCACGCTACCACTGATGGTGTTGGCTTTTGTGGCAGTTCACGCACGTTCCAGATGTGCCGCCTAGATTTCTTCTAGACCAGTGTTTTCCCAACGGTGTTCTGTGGACCCCAGGGTTCCGCAACATGAAAATTCCATTACGGTAACATTTTATGATTAAAAAAATAATAATTAATGCAATGTGATTTTTGTTTTTAAATATGCACAATTAAACTAAATGTTGATCCCATGACCTTGTTTAGCATTTGTTTGTTATTATCCTTACTTGTTTGTGGTCTACTTTTTCAGCTCCATATTAGGGATTATTAGGGGTTCTGCAAAATTCTTTCGAGTTTAAAAGGGTTCCCTGGCCAAATAAAATTGGGAAACACTGTGCTAGGCTGGTCCCTCGGTTAACAGCAATCCGTGCTCTCCTGTTGTGGCAGACAGTCCCGGCACGAGGAAGTCTGTTGGAATCTAGCTGTGTTTTTCTGTGCTGACCAGGAAAAGCACTTCAAGGTTCAGAGAAATCACATGTGTGGCCAAACCCCTGCACCATGCACCACACGCACGACCCCCTCTCTGGGGCCACCGAGGCCTTGCAGCAGGGGAGCTCAAGGCAGTTGCCTTCCAGTGCCACGCACGAGGCGGATGTGAGTGCATGCTAGTACGATTGCTCAGTGGAGCTGAGCGGTAGCACCCCTCAGGGCTCCCCTTGCACTGCAGGGTACATGGTACGCGCAGAGAATAGGCACTTCAAAGGAGACCTACTTAAGTGAAATTTTCAGTGTGGCAGGTGGCTTGGCACAGCTCTCTCCTAGGGTCCCCCTCCTGCTACGAGACAAGAGTGACTGGTAGTCAGATGTATAGACAGGGCCCTGCCAATGTGCGGATAGCCACTTTGCATCTATGAACGTGGGTGCAGAACTCTGTGGTTCATTTTTGCAGATACAGACATGGATACAAATTGTATATCTAGGGGCTCCGTGAGAGATCTCCAGGGGCTCCACAAGGTCGACAAACTGGAAACATCGATAGGTACAACACACACAATCAGCTGGGGCTCCGCATAAATTTTTATGCATGTAAGGGGCTCCAGAGCCCAGAAAGTTTGAGACCCACTGATTTAGAGAGTCTGCTGCAAGGATGGGCAATCATTTTCAATGGGAGGGGGCACGCCAAGAATTTGGTACGTGTTCAGGACCTGCACTTTCCTAGGACATTAATGGAGGGGGTGCAGATTCTGTTTGTAACTCAGAAATGGCCATTGCTCTGAACAGAACGATGTGGTTCTTTCAAAAGTTTACTACTGAACTTTCACATAAGCTTTGAAACTTTACTAGGCAGGAAAAAAAAAACGCTGCTTAGTTTAAATGAAACCAATTCAAACAGTTTCCTTACCTTGTCAAATCCTTTAAAAACGTTCCCCTTTTAAACATAGTTTATGCTTAACAATGTACAGTATTGGGCGGGGTGGGGGGAGGAAGGGTCTTCTCTAGTGCTACCTGATTGTCTAATTCTGCTTCCAAATGACAGGCCAGTTCCTAACTCTGGGGTTCTCCTGGACACACATGCACTAAGGAAACGCTGCCATATCGGGGGCAAATCCAGCACAGCTGCTTACAGCAGGGATCTCAAACTCAATTGACCTTAGGGCCAGTGCCAGTCCTCAAATACTCCAAGAGGGCCAATGGGCACTCCCATTCTGGCAGGGCTCTGTGCAATCCCCCCTTGCACATCCTCCGGCCTGCCTGCAGCCTCAGGTTATTTAAACCCCCTCAGCAAATCCCACCGCTCCCACCAGCAGCACAGTGGGGCTAGAGTGGATTCCAGCTCCTAGCTCCATGCCACTGTGGCACCTCCCTGTGGCCTGGGGGAAGTGTGTGTGCAAAGCAGTGAAGAAGAATGACTGGGACGGCCTGTGAGATGATGCAGAGGTTGCTGCATTGCTCCACTTCCCCTTGGCTCCCACTGCTACAACGAGTGCAGGAAAGACAGCCCCCTGCTGCTGCCTTGTGCCAAGCTTCCCAGTAATCCCTAAGGCCACATCCCTTGGGGGAGGAGGCTTGAAGGAAGGGATTAACCCTTGTAAATATTGACATGCCAGGGAATTTTCAATAATGCCCTGTGAGCTCAGATCCTACAAAGATGAGCAATACAATAACTGATAAAGATAGACAGACCCACCAATCAACCCTGGGTTTACATCTCATCTGAAAGCATGTCATTAACCTGTGGAACTCACTGCTGCAGGAGATTAGTCACTGAAACTCTGGCCATTGGCACGACAGAGGAACGAACAGACACATAGGCGGGATACAGAACAAATACACTCTTGTTTTGTAAGATTATGTGTTTGCCTCTGCGAGAGGGCCCACTAAGTTGCAAAACAACTTTCCTCCTTCCCACTCCAGACTTCTGGAGCCCTGCCAATCAATACAGACACATTAATGCATTAATTACTCTTCTGTAATGGCAAGCCATTAATGAATGGACAGACCCAAACCTGATCTCTTTCCATTATTAATGATCCTATATTGGAGTCAGGGAAGGCCAGATGGATTGGACAGCAAGTGACGGGTGGTCTCTGCAACCTTCCCCAGTGTCCCCCTCCCAATCCAGAAATGTGCACAGTCTGATGAAAGAGCTGTTTGTTTAGCCCCCCTAAGCTGTGCTGCCATTGGATGGTGTTCACCAGTGCCTAGCATGCCCCAGGGGCTGTGCTGAGAGTTACCATCTGGGAGCAGTGTCCAGTGTCACTGTGCACTTTGCGGCATGGTGGAATATATTAATTAGCAAAGGGGAGCAGAGTGCACGCCAGGCCAAAGTTGTGATGCAGCTCCAGGTGGTGGCAACAACAAGCGGTTGTTATCTACAGCAGCTTGGGGGGCAGGAGTGAGAGTAGGGCTATTCGCCATCCTGCATATTTGTGGGGTGTGTGGAGCCCGGGGTGGGGGGGGCAGGAGCTGTGGAGAACTCACCGTGCCTCCCGCGGTGAGTTCAGGAGCCGCATCTCCCAATGTTCACGAATGTCGCCATCTCCAGCAAGTGTTTCCTGTAATGGGTTTGGGGCCTCAGCCTAGCCCTGCAGGGACAAATGGCTACATCACCAAACCAGCCAGCACCTGGTCTCAGCAGAGCTGCCAAGGACGGATGGGCGAGGAAGAGGGCTCTCTCTCCAGGGTGAGAGCAAGGTGGGCAGCCCTGATCTGCCCCCTGGGCTGCACCTGACATGTCTGGACTCTACGGCGTGTGGAGAAAAACCACGCGTCAAGCTCACAGCTGGGTGGAAGCAGACCCAGTTTTGCTGACGTCAGCAGCATTGCACCTGCTTTCACCAGGGGCCCAGTGCTCTCCCTCGTGCTCAGCTCTGCACGCACGTGACCAGAAAGACCTGTATGTGGGGGCAGAGGGCTACTCTGCTTTTATTCTCATCTCATTTCGGATTTGGGGGACAATAAAATATTTCCAGCGATATAAAATATACGATAAAATATTGCAGGCAGGATAAAAAACAAAGAGAAGGATTTGGAGCTTAATTCAGTCAGTGACTGTGTGTGTAAATCCCCCAGAAGCAGCATGCTTTGAAATCCCCTTCACTCTGGGGTTTCAGTGCCCTTGGGGCCAATTTGCTACCTGTGGCCATCCAGGTCGCGTTTCATGCAGAGCTGTTTTATCTCGGCAAATCTCTCCCTTGTATCTTTCATAGCTACCAAGGAGGAAGAATGGGCTCGTGGTTAACGCACTGGTCTGGGAACAGGAGAAGGTGCATGCAGTTCCTATCTCTGCCACAGCCTCCCTGTAGGACCTTAGGCAACTCATTTAAACTCAGTGCTGCAGTCCCCCTGTCTGCAGCATGGGGATAGTGATCCTTCCCTGCCTACCTCCCAAGGCTGTTGAGAAGATAAATCCATTACTGCCAACGAGGGACTCAGACACACTCCTCTGCCATGGGAGGCAGATGTATGCCTAGACAGAAATAACACAAGGATGCCTGTGATCTGGGATCGTGCAGGCAGAGAGCTATAGCATCTGCTCCTGGTGCAAACTGGACACCTGGGCTCTGTATGCAACACTGAAACCCAGCACCAGTGTTCCCTGTAAGCTCTGCCATTGTACGGCTGCTCAGGAGAAAATTCAAATCCTGCCCAGCTGATTAGCAGAGTGCCCACATAGTGTTTCTGTTGATGCACATTTGCACCTGCTTTGGCACACATAAAAATTATTCTGCACATAAATGGAAAAAATAAGCACATGGATGGAAAAGATTAGTGGGAGCATTGCTCAGCACCTCCTGGAACACGAGAGGAAGTTTATGAGCTGGGTCCAAGCTTTGACATTAGCCCTCTCTCCGTAACGGGACCGAACCAGAATATGCCCCTCCCATCATACTTATGGAAAATGTGAATCTGAATGTATCTTAAGGGCTGGGCCTGACATCTAACGGCAATTCCCTTCCTCCCTGTCTCCAAGTAAAAGTTTCCCCCTCACCCAGCAACGTCACAAGGGATCGAGCCTACAAATCAAATTCTGTGTCCCGCTCAGCGGGGCTCCTTCAGATCTGCATCTCAGAGGGTTCCTTCCACTTCGTCTATTACCCGGTGATACGTTTGGCAAGGCAGGACCCTCCCCTGGCAAAATTCACCTTCCCAGCCCAGCCCAGAACCGGGAGCCCTTCACTTCCCAGTTCACCCCCACAAGAATGGAAGCCGGGATTCCCCCTCACACCATGTGCCTCCCTCTGCCCTACCGATGGGGGCGAGACAATTAATAGAGGGCAGGGGCTTTCTGATCCAGGCTGGGGAGAACGGCAGCAGCTCAGGCGGAGACAGAGCATGAATTATGCATGTTGCTGCAAGCCCCCCCCCCACCCCCAGCCTGGTCCTTGGACCAAGGCAAACGAGGTGAAGACAGCAGCGAGCCAGAGAGCCCTCTCCCCCGGGACCCAGAGTGCTGGCTGAGAGGGAGTGAGCAGGCAGGGGCGGGCGGGGAGGGAGGAGCACATCCTTATGCAGAGATGCTGCAGTGGCTTTGGGCGCACACAGGCAAGCGGCAGCACAAAGCAAGGACTCGCCTGGAGGAGGAGGGCGGGCAGGAGAGAGGAAGGAGGCTGCAGCATCCAGGGCTCTAGGATCTCCCCTGCACACACCCACACGTGTCCACCAGCCCACGGTAAGTGGTCTCTCTCTCTCTGCTGCTCGACTGAGGGGTAGGGGGAGAGAATGACGGATTAGCTGGCTTTCCGGGAACCAATTCTAACTTTCAGTGTTCCCTGCGCAGAGGTGCTGGAAATTGGGGGCAGCCGCACTCCCTGGAAACGGTTTCCATCATCGACAGGGTTTATAGCTTGGTTCAATGGCTCTCAGCCCACCCCCTGCCCCCCGCACAAATTGTTCCAGGCTGATGCTCGTCTTTTCCCAGGCATATGACACCGTTAACCCCTCCTAGCACACCTGCAAGCCACCCACCGGGCTCCATAAGGGGGCGTGGGGCTGGTTTGCGCCTTTACCCAAGGGTTACTGTGGAGCAGGAAACACAGGCACTGGCAGGGCTGGAAAAGGGATGAGGGTGGACTATGTGCACGGGAAAGAGGGGGGAATCCAAAGGACACGTCCGGGATTGTGTCAGTTCTGGTGGGGGGACCGGAGAGAGCCTCATCAAGCCCTTTAAAACAGACGGGAGCTGCTTGCGTGGAATAGTGCTAGGTTTTACCCCCCTGCTTTCAGGGAGCGGTAGTATGTCGGGGGTGGCACTTTGAAGTCCCCATTGCTAAGATCACGGCTCCCACATGTCTGAGCTGGAGGGGAGAGAGCACAGAGAGGGGCTCCCCCAGGTCAGGCTCCTGCCCTCTTGAGAGCTCGAGGCTTGCACCGAAGGTAACTTGTAAACATAAGCTGGGAGAGATGTGGAGCAGGGTGCAGGCAGAGGCGTGTGAATCCACTGCAGCAAAAGGGGATCAGAAAGACCACAGCCCCTAAAATCCCCTCCCTCCCCGCACCGAATTAGAACTCCAGCTCTTGGGCAGGAAGGCGGAAGTTCAGACTCCACTGTGCACCCGGAGGCCCGTGCTCCAGCTGGAGTGCGTGCGGAAGGTGTCCGGCTGCTACAAAGCCCAGGGCGCTTGTGGGACCGCCATGGTTTTCCGTGGGGCTTGCCTGCGTTGTGTCGCAAGTGAAAGCCTGCAGGCAGGGCTGGCAGCACCCAGCATAAGCGAGGACAGAGGGAGGGATGACACAGGGGATCACAGGCAGCCGGGGCTATGGGCTCCTCTCTGGCTCTGTTGCACCCGGGCTTTCAGACAGCTGAGGGATCCACGCCAGGGTGAAAGAGCTAGTGGCCAAGGCTGCTCTGCAGCTTGTGTTTGAAGATGTGGGTCCCTTCACCCATCCACTCCCACTCCATTGACTTCCCTACAGCTGCAAGCCTTCTCTGGGCCTTTGGAATGCTGCATTTGTTTCACCTTTGGGCTGGTCATTTAAAAGTACCTTCACTTTCTTTAAAGAAAGGGACATTAGTCAATTTCTTGGTCAGGAACTAACCCTGCCCCTGCCCAGAAACATCCTGGGTATCTCCCCTCCCTCGCCAGCCCTGTAACTTTAGGCAGAGAACCTCACTTCCTGATGTGGCTTGCAAGCGTCAGCCAGTGCTACCCAGAAAACAGCCAGCTGGAATGAGACTTCCCTACGCCCAGTAAGACCTATTAGCCATTTAGTGACAGTGCATAAGAGCGCGGGGGCTGAGAGCACACGCCCATGCTAGCCCAACCCCTATGCAACCCTTTGTTTCAACTGGATCTTCTTCACTTCCTGTCCTAAACAGCCACATCCTGTTACCCAGCTTCTAAGAGCTGACCGAGCGCTGGCTTGTGCAGTCAGTGAATCAGGAAAGCACAGGTGGAAAGGTGCATGGGGGTGGGGGGGGAGAGAATATTGAACACTGGAGTCCTCTCCAGTCGCAAAGGTAGGGCAGGAGGAGTCCACCTGGACTGTTCCCCTGCTGCTCCCGTTCAGAGGGAGGGCCAGGGCTAAAAATGGGCAAATCTAGACTTGCCAGCTGAGGGGTGTGATGGCCAAGCTCTGGGTTGGCCCCATCTCCTCTTCCGAAGAGCCTGCGTCCCCTACACACACAGGCAGCGAGTGGCATGAACCCATGGTGCCTGTGCTCCACCAATGTTCTGGAACATGGGCCTGGCTCTACCCATGTGTGGGGTTATATTTTCAGAGCTGTCCCCTCCATAGGCTGGGCCAGGGCCACCGTCCCGGGACCTGTGCTAACCCCCTCTCCCCCCGCAACCTCTTACCAGAAACCATGCTCTCCCCCAAGTGACAGCTGATGGGAATGGAGTGGAGTGGGGTAGGGCACTTGCTACTGTCGAGCCTGCCCCCCCCCCACTAACCCTCCAACTTGCCCTGGCCCCCGGGTCCTCCAAAAGTGTGGGGGTCCCCAAAGCACAGGGGCCAGGGTGGTTGCTCTGCTCCATTCTTTGGACAGGACAGTTCTGCCTGGATCTGTTCTGAGCACCACCAAGAGTATACACACCTGGCACCCGCAGCTACCTGCTCGTTCTAAACCGTTGTACGCTGAAGCGTTCCAGGCTGTGTACACTTTAAGGGGAGGTTTTAAAAATAGGCCTAACAAATTCAGGCACACAGTCTCATTGACTTTAATTGTGCTCCTAAATACCTGTAGCACTTGGGCAAATCTCTCCCCGGTGGCAAAGAGAATATTGAGGGTAACTTTTGAAAGTGAACCTCAAGTAAACGTATCACAGTAAAAGGTCCAACACACTACTTCTTACAAATGCAAACAGGAGATGGGTCTCCAAATATTTGACAATGTTGTTTCAGCTTGAGCTGAGCTGGAACACTCGTTCCCCCTTTTCCCACGAACCGATGAAAATCTGAAATGCCTTCCAGCCATGAACCTTTTTTATTCCTCACAGGCCAACAGTGGGTTTTCCCAGGCACAGACGCCTGCTCCGTCACAAAGGGCTGCTCTCACATGGGAAACAAGTCCCCCTGTGGCAAAAGCTCACTCAAAATTCCCTGTTAGGTCCAGAGGATGATGCAGCTACATTTCCCAACTCTTTCAGAGGGGTAGCCACATGAGTCTGTAACTGGAAAAAATGTAAAAAAAACCAACAAATAGTCTTGCAGCACCTTAGAGACTAACAAAACATGCGGAGGGTGTCATGAGTTTTCATGGGCACAGCCCACTTCTTCAAATGAATCTCACACACGTTGTGCCCACGAAAGCGCATGACACCATCTACATTTTTGTTAGTCTCTAAGGTGCTGCAGCTATTTGTTTTTAAGATTTCCCAACTCTGGGTTTGTTGGCAGAAGCGGGATCTCACCCTCCAATGATGCAAACACTCAAAGAAATTCAGCTCTGGGGTTGCACCTTGTGTGATCCTCCACTGCAGCCTCCGCGTCCGTGTGCACTTCTCTTTGTCTCTCCGGGAAGGGGCTCACTAGGGTGAAATGGCCTCTCCCTCTCAGGGCCAGACAGGCACTCTAAGGAACAGGGGAGGAGAACCTGCAGCTCCTGGAGGAGGGATCTGTGGATGCTAGAGTTGCTTGGTACCAGGCCTTTCTAGAGCCGCATCTCCTCAGAGCAGGGGGCAAGCTGGAGGAAAACTGGAGTGGAGCATGCAGCACACAAGAGAGCACAGTCTGCCCTCTGGCGACCGGCAATCAGAGCTCACTACAGCCCAGCCACTCCCGCCCCTGCCTGACAGCCCCACCCTGCCCTGCAAACACACCAGGGAATGCCACACTTCCCTATTTTCTCTTCATTCTCCTCGCTCCCTTTTAGTAGCTTCTTTTCCTCCTCTCTCACTTCACTGTTTATCATTTTCTTCACCTTTTATTCTCCTCCCCCTTTACCAGCCTTTCCTTTCCCTCTTCACTCTCTCTCTTCCTTTCATTCTCTCTTCCCCTCCCCACTCACCCCTTTCCGTTTTCTTGGCCTCTCTCATTTGCTTTACTTCATGTCTTAGTCTGCTGCTCCCAGTGTTCCCTGTAAACCATGCACCTGCGCAGCCACTCAGGGGAGATTCAAATGCAGAAATAGCAGAGCACCCACAGCTAGGGGGTTTTTTTCTACTGGTGGTGCACATGCACATCAGTGCACATACAATTATTCCACACGTGGATGGAAAACAGAGGGGACATCGGTTGTTCCACATCATGTACATTGCAGTCATGCCCAGAATTTTGGTCAAAACAGCATTTTTTGACAGAAAATTGGTTTCAATGAAACTGTCCCGCCGCCCCTGGAATAAGACAAATTGCCACCTGATGGAGGATCCAGTTACACCCCAAGAACGTCCCCCATGCCATTTTTCTAACACAAGGCGCATGTGGCTTAATTTCAGCCTCCCTCCCGCTTTTTTGTTTCTAGTGCAGCAGTAGTGAGAGCCCCATTCAGAGAGCTGTGGTGCTAGATGTAGGTACCAGTTGGACAGTGATAGTCATGGCCCCAGAAAGCTTGTCTGCAACCTTCAGGGTTGCCAGGGGTCTGGTTTTCCACTGGAAAGTCCGGTTTTAGAGGAACCTGAACAGTCTCCAGTCACAAGTACGGACTGGACACCCAAAGTCCACTTACCGCAATTCTGCTGTCTCCCCCCATCCCTCAGCCAACCCAAGGCCCCCTTAGCCCCCTGAGGCAGGATGAAGCAGAACTGGAGGTGCCCCTGCTGGTAGTCCTGGTAGGCTAGGGAGGGACATTTCCTCTTCCTCACACTCTCCAGCCCTCCCTACAAGCCTTTGGCCTCAGAGCTGCTGCTGCTGAAGTGAGAGACACGGTCCCCTTCAGCATCCCCCTTCTCTTTATGGTGAGTTGAGCCTTCGGCAGTTTGGGTAGAGGGTGAAGGTACCAGCCCTTAGTGCAGTGGCTCCCAGACTTTCTGGCATCATGCCCCCCATTTTGATTTTTGAAAAACCCTCACTCCCGCCCCCCCAAATAATAGCAGCAAAAAAAAGGAACTGAACGGGGTAGCAAAACTTGATATGGGGGGGAGGCTTGCCTTGCGCCCCCCTGGAATTTCTTCAAACCCCCCAGTTTGGGAAGCCATGCCTTAGTGTGTTACGAAGCCCCGCAACCAGTCCCAGCAGCTCAAAGTTGTTTTGCTTTGCTTGGGGTGGGGGGTTGTTAAAAGAAGCCTCCGC